TATTAGTTATAATTTTTTTTAGTTTATATAGTTATAAAAGGTCACGTGATGTTGGTTTTAGACTACATGCACCATAGTAGTAAAATTATTTAAATTAATTAAATATTTGTAAAATACAATTTAAAGATTTTTGATATGTGATATCAACCAATCAAAAATCAATGATTTCTGTAACTCTAAGAAATTTGACTTCACAGCAAATATAAAATATATACAAGTATGTTTTTAAAAATATACTTTAATCTATATTCTATAAAATTTTAATAAAAATTAAATATAATCATATTAGTAGTATCAATTTTTTGGTAAAATCGAAAAATACTATGCAGATCATATGATAAAATGATCTACGTACACTCTACCCTTAAAATCCGTGAATATTCATTAAAAATAGCAGTGATGGATATTCAAAGGATCCCAACTCTAGGCATAAGAAATCACCTTTGAGTACTAAAAAAAAAATTCTTGCAAAATTTTAGTATAATGTTGCCCACTAACACTAACTCCAAACCCTAACTTAAGTGTCATATTTAATTAGAAGATGACATGTAAACCAGTGCGAATAATCCCAACCAATAGAAACTAGGGGAAATGCCAGCAAACGGTCGATATATCCGATTAAAGTAACCGATTACAGGATTAATATAACTGTAACCGATTACGTAATCGAATTTTGATCGAATTAGTTTATTATGAAAATCAAAACCTGGTTCGGGTAACAATTTATAAGAAATGAGTCATTGTCACGATGAGCATGAGTCGCATGAACACGAACATTCTCATGATGGTCCAGATCGCGGAACTGAAGCTTCTCTTTACCCATGTATAGACCATGAGAATATTCGTTGTTTAAACGAAAGTGTAGCAGGTTCAGGAAAGAATGTCATAAAACCTTGGCACGAAAGAAACGATACAACTAAGGCTTGTATTAATGCTTTAACGATTGAGGCGAATGTGTTCTTTGCAAATTAAAAACCATCTTATACGTTTACTTTACCAGTTTGTGGAAAGTGACGTTGACGAACAATTGATTTTATTCATCCCGTTAGTATACTATTGGTTTGGTTGATCAGATATTCCCTAACAATATTGCTTTTTAACAGTATTTTGCAATAGCTTCACTGGTAGCGTTAAGTTAAAATCAATTTCAATCAAATCGGGTCCTGGAGACAGCTGTCCCTCGAAAATGAAGGCGTATGTTTTTACTTTCCCTGTGATGCATATACATTTATTACTGATTTTGTCGATCATTCAGGTATATTAACCGCGAAGATATTGATTTTGACACCGTTGATTCCTATACTGCAACCCAGGAGTGGGAATTAGTTTCTAGCCCTGATAATGTTGAATATATTACAAGGTAATTTATTTTCATAATATTATGGATAACTCAAAAAAGAAAAAACAATTAACCTTTTCATATGACAAGGATGGCAAAAATGTACAACGTAAGAAATTTGACTCTTTATTTTCCTGAAAACTTTGGAGATGATGTGACGAGGATTTTTTACATCGGGCTTAAAGGAGAATGGACTGAGGTAAGGAAGAAATCACACGGGTTTGGGATCATGCACATATCATATTATTCCAAATAATGAAGGAATGAAAAAGCAATTATAGATAAATTTTCTTAATGAAATAAGTCGCATGATTTTGCAACTTACACGCAAACTTTAAACATGTACAGATAAAGAGTGATCAGATCATAACTATATATGAGGCGACACCTAACCCTGCAGACCATAAAAATCCAGCTGAAGATGAAAGAATTCATCACACCGTCAATTGATCTTACCATCATTTGTTTCTGTTTTTGTTTTGTTTTTTTAAAAAAAAAAAAAGATATTAGGATTATTACATATCTTTATAGCCATAAATCTTATATGCTGTATACGCCAACATTACAAATTTTGCGTGCTCATTATTTATTTCATTTATATTGATTATAAAAATATATATATAGTAATATTTTATCCATACCAAAATTTATTACAGTATTTTTAATTTAAATATAAGTCGTGAATATTGAACCTATCAAAACAAATATGCATAGTGAACAGGTTTTGTATCAATATTGAAAGGTATCGAATTTGAAAATTATAAGCTATTAGATTTATATCTGATATAGCAGAAACAAACTTGGATTAATTTTTTATCATATGGGGTGTTACGTATTAAAACCGGAATTAACCCCCAAAAAATGCGCGATTGATTCTCGATTTTGATTGGCCAGCTGCTGTGATCGACAAAATTCTGGCCCGCATTAATTTGTTAATTTCAAAAATAGAAATTTTTAAGGTTTGGCCTATTTAATAGTAAAATTAGTCTAGAAATATATATATGGGGGTTTTCAATAGAAAGAAAGAAGATTTCTTCTACAGTAAGTAAAGTTTTTTAAACTTTAAATTAAAATATCTTAATAACTATTAAATTAAATTTAATAAATTTTTTTTATTTTAATTCTATAAAATTATAAAATTAAAAAAATTTTTTTATTAAATTTAATTTAATAGTTATTGAGATATTTTAATTTAAAATTTAAAAAAAAAGTACTAAAAAATTTTTTCCTTCTTTTCTATTAAAAAGTAGGACATTGTAATTTATCACTATAGCGATATATCGCTACCTCTGATTGACCAATTAGAATGCAAGATTAGGTGTAATGTGAAATCGAAACAAAATATTGTCTTTTCTAAAA